ATATAAATATATAATTATTCAATATATAAATGTATATATCTTGTGTTTTATTAAAAATGTTTTAATTTATCAAGACGCGCGGCGACCAATGCTGTTGCTAGTCGTTGCGAATGAGAGACGACTTACACGGGTGTTACATGAGCGCGAGCGTGTACTTGCTCAGGTTTTTTCTAATTTTGGATGTGTTCTACCACATGAAATGAAACAAAATTTTTCACACCAAAAGAAAATTCAATAGCCCTTCTAATGATACTAATTAAAAATTAGTCCAAACAACTGCACTACCCGAAAATTCAAAATAAAAAATTATTTTCACTTTTTCATGCACTAAAAAATAATTATTTAACAATATTTGTTATTAATAATATAGTACATACCGATGTGAACACATTGGCGTTATTGGTTTGTCGATATCTCTCACAATTGCGACAAAAAACGACTTTGAATAAAGGGACCACTTTCACACATTTTCAATGATATCTCGGCCAAATGATGAGCTACGGATTTGAAATTTGGTATATCGGATTTTCTCGAAAATACCTATAAAATGGCATCAAAATTATTTAAATACCAGGGTGGGGCCAATTCTGTATGGAAACACGCCCATACCCTTTTTTAAAATAAATAATTGTTACAACTTTTTTTCTCAGGCATGTGGATTTGGCAGGGATCAAACCAAGTATCAGACACTGGTCCTGGATCAAGCAGTTCAGGAGCCCATTCCATGGCTCCTGTTCCCGTGCAAGTTCATTCTGGTGCCAGTGAAGGGCAACCATAAGGACAAGAACTCTCTGAAATGCTCCAAATGTTAGATCAGGGAGGCGCTACCTCATTTGAAGAACTTAATATTAACATGTTCAATACACCTTTTGCGTGACATTACATGCACAAACTCAGTAATGGAAACTTGTAAGACATGTGCTAGTGGCAAAATGATAGTGCAACTAATTTAAATTGGTTCTGATCAATTCTGACATGTTAATACATTTTAGGCAGATATATAAAGATTGTGTGCATTTACATTCTTATAATGACGAGGATGAATATATTCCGTAAATAGGAATACAAAATTATTATTTTTCAGATATACATTCAATTTTTGTAATGTGCATGTAAAGACTTTCCTTATCTGAATTATTTTTCTATAAATACAACAAATGTGAGTCAGATAGTTATATTTATTGAATTTTATGCTTAATTTTTTAGATTGAATGCTGGCCGGTGAATGATTTGATCCAAATTTTGTACTGTACACAAGCTTTAAAATCTAAAATCACTTTTTGATAATAATAAATTATCAAATATAAAGTTGTTTTTACTATATATGAAAATTGAGAAATATATGACAATTCAATATATAGATTTAACAGTTCACCTTCATTAGTTATTGACACAATTTTAACTAATTTTCTTGGTACTTTTATAATTTTATTGCTTAATCTGTAAGTTGCGTGCCTGAAAAATTGTTTTAAATTCATTTATGTTTATATCACCACCTGCCAGTTCTTTCTTTCAAAACAGGGGTTATGAAGTGTTTTTTGTTCTTTCATCGAATAATTTCCATTTTATATAATATGTTATTTCAAACCAAATACCTTTGTTCAACCCTTAATTAAAATTAATGTCTTTGTCTGTGTTTAACCCTTTGCGGTCCACACTCAGCCACCAAATCTTTGTATCATGCCGATCGTATGATTTAGTTAGACAACACCATGGCAAGGATCTTTATGAATTGTGTACTGTATGCATTCAAAATGCATACGCTAAATATAAAACACATTTTATACAAAAATATATCACTTGAAGTATTGAATAAAAATGTATCTAAAGTTCAAGGTTAATTAATATAATTACCCTTTGCGGTATTCTTAGTAATTACTTGTACAATTTTTCAGAGCAAATATAGACAAATTTTGTCTTAATTTAATTTACATATTTATAATTTGACTTCATTTTTGTGTAACATGGTCATTATATAGAATTATTTCGGATTGTGCATTTGGAACTGGACATTATTTCACCTTACGAGAATTAATTTTAATGTAACAGATCTGTCATAAAAATATAAAAATGTTCATTTTTGATATGAAAACGAATTTTTATTATTACTTAAATTACAGATTCATAAAATAATTATATTAATATATGGCTTAAATTATATGAACCCATATGGAAATAATTCATCTTATAAATAAATATCTGAAAAGCTTATAAAACAAGATTCGTTTGTAAATCACAATATAAAGTAGAAACATATGGAATTGTTTTCCACTTCTGACTCAACAGAAACTACAGTTGATTTACAAAAATTCGGTTTTCCCAGTTTGTAGCTTCATAAAATTTCTTGTTTTTAAGAAGTTATGAAAAGTATAATTTTTATGTATAAACATTTTATTTTAATATCTTACAATTCAAATATATATATATATATATATATATATATATATATATATATAGAATTTTATGATATGAGTGGAACGAATATTAATTGTTTAATATGAACAAAACAGCACTCAGATTTGTTTAACACAACTTTATTTTATGATTACAGACGTTTCGAGACCATGGTGTGTCTCATCTTCAGTGTAATTTCAAAAACAGTTACTTATATACTACACATTCTTTAATAATTTATTTAAATTTCATTTAATTTTTGATATACAAAAAACACCAACTATTCTTTGCAATGCTTGACACAGTACACCCAGTATCAAAAATTAAATGAAATTTAAATAAATTATTAAAGAATGTGTAGTATATAAGTAACTGTTTTTGAAATTACACTGAAGATGAGACACACCATGGTCTCGAAACGTCTGTAATCATAAAATAAAGTTGTGCTAAACAAATCTGAGTGCTGTTTTGTTCATATTAAACAATTAATATATATATATATATATATATATATATATATATATATAATTGACTTAAAATGTAAACAAATGCCAAATAGTAATTCAAACATAAATTCACATTGTGAATGTTTCTATTACAATAAGGTACAGCTTCCACAGAAATATATAAATCGTTACATACTAATTCAGATTCAGAATTGAAATTAGATAGAAATGATACAATCAAGTAAATATGCACAATACATACATAAATATATGTATGCATGTATGTATATGTGTGTATATATATATATGTATATATATATATATATATATATATATAAATATATATATATATGTATATATATATATATATATATTGTGGAGTTTCGAACAAGAATCCAAAAAGTAATAAAAAACAAATAAAGCTTTTTAATAAACTATTTCTATATTTATTTATTTACTGTCGACGTTTCGGAACTAGGTACGTTCCATCTTCAGGAATGGAACATACCTAGTTCCAAAACGTCGACAGTAAATAAACAAATGAAGTAGTTTATTAAAAACCTTTTGTTTTTTATTACTTTTTGGATTCTTGTTCGAAACTCTACAAAATATTCACAAATCCAAGACTACCATTTAATATATATATATATATATATATATATATATATATATATATATTTGAAGAGTCTTGAATTTGATGATATATATGTTTAATTTGAGTTTAAAATTCGGGTGTAACATCAATAAAAATAGTATGAGAGTTTTTTTTAAAAGGTGCTTTATTTAATAATAATAATAACAGTAATGAAACAATTTTGTATCCTAATATAGCATATGAAACCATTATTAATCCATTGTATGAGTATGTGCACATTGATAAAATATATATTTTTTAACATCACAAATGGTAAAACACACTAATGGTAAAACACACCACAACTTGTTAAGTTACCATTTGTGATGTTAAAAAATATATATTTTATTAATGTGCACATACTCATACCATGGATTAATAATGGTTTCATATGCTATATTAGGATACAAAATTGTAAGTGTTTCATTACTGTTATTATTATTATTGTTTCTCTATGAAATTTCTTACATATTATTTATTTAGTTTTAATTTTTATAGTTAACTTGTTTACCACTGAATGATGGCTAAGATGCTAGCCGAAACGTATGGATTTTAAATAAAGCAACTTTTAAAAAAACTCTCATACTATTTTTATTGATGTTACTCCCGAATTTTAAACTCAAATTAAACATATATATCAACATCAAATTCAAGACTATTCAAATATATATATATATACACCTAAGTCTGTTTTTACACGGTCTTTTTGTACACGGTTTTGATATAACACGGTTTGAAAATTGAATATTTTTAATTTTTTTACACGATTTTATTCCATTTAGCACGATTTGAAATTTTATGTACTTAATTTTTTTCTGTCAAATTTAATTTTTGCGAAGTATGTTCATATGACAAAAAAGTATTTATGAAAGAAAAAAGTCTGAAACCATCGATAGTATCAATAGTTTGCGAACACTAGCTTAAAGATTTAAGTGAATTTTATTTTTTACCTTAAAAATTGAATAACCTATTCTTTTCGTTCACAACATAGTTTTTTAGTTCCTGAACTTGCCATACATTTAATTTATATTACTTTTAAGATTAGAGTGCATATCCTTTTTATCATTAATTACTATGCTTGTGAAAATAAGCATTATATATTTGATTTAATAAAATAAACATGAATTCTTGTTCTTAAAAATACTTGTTTTTCACTAATTTAAATAGGTTTTAGAGATTAGGAACAAATCACCCATTTTTGTATAAGATCAATGTCTTTTTTTACACGACTTCTTCTGGAACCAATCTACCGTGTAAAAACAGACTTAGGTGTGTATATATATATATATATATATATATATATATATATACATAAATATAACAAAAAAGATTTTGACATTGAAACATATTTGAACAAATGTTTTAACAGCCCATTCATCAATAAGTTTTTGTTTATTTCGACGAATGGGCTGTTAACACATTTTTTCGAATATTATATATATATATATATATATATATATATATATATATATATATATATATATATACAGCTAGTGTATATAACATCTGAAAATATTTCTTCAAACTGATTTAAGAAAGATAACTTGGAGTGGCTTCATAGCGTCTTTGAATCTGATCATATGTAAATTTAACAAAAGCATCATATTGCTCAGCCAGCTTTGTAGTCAGCACTCGATCATATTGTTCACGCAGCTCAATCTCTCTTTCACGCAGCATCCTTTCACAAATCAGACCGACCTGCTTAAAGGTGAAAAGGGCCTTATCTGAATTTTTACCATAACTTTGTCTCATATTAAGATCATTGTTTTGTATGCCAATTTCACTGTTTTGACCCACTGGACTTGGCAATGGAGACATATTCATTATGCAGCTCTCCGACCCCGAACTGGACCCGTCCGAATCTTCGTGATGTTCTAATTCCGAATTCATTCGATTGTGATTAAAATTTAATTGTTTGCGTTTATGCAAACGACGTATTTCTTCGCGAATGTTAGCTGCCATTTTTTCTGGAGTTAATTTCCTATCAATTTCTCCAAATGGTGAAGGTTTATTTTCAACAACTTTCATAGTAGCATTATGACTGGAAGGAGCAGGCGTTCCGTAGGGGTTGCAACGCCGACGCTTTGATGGACGCTGATTCAGGGATGATTCCCAATCCGATGCTCTTTTAAGGGTTGCACACGCCATTACACTATTATATATTTGTTCTAGTCTCCCACACTTAGGAGAATAACGCTTCTAATCTGACTTGGAGTTACGATTTGCCTTATTTCAATTTTCTTTATTCACTCACATGAGAACTTTTAATTCAAAAAATCACTTTGTACGCAAGAGGTTCACTTTTTAAGTTATAAGCTACTTTTCAGCAGCACACGTAATAAACTCGAAATATTTTTAAAATGACTAAAAAAAATCCAATATGGCTAAACATACCCACAAAACGCCTTCTTGCGCTGCTGTGTAATGAATTCCTAGCCGAGACGAGAAGGTCCGCCAACCGAACAAGACACTAAACAGACACCAACCAACGATGAAAAATGTAACTAAAAATTTACGTATTTAACAAACGATTGTGTTGTTTGATCGCGCTCGACTAGCAACTAGAAAGATGGATATGGAGGTCATAGATCAAAAAGAGTATATAATTGAGACAACTCGACTTTATGATTATTATTTGCTTAAAACTTTTTAAGATTATTATTTACTTAAAACTTTTTCTATATATTTTTTTTAAATATGTACGCAGTTTTATTTTTCTTAGAGATTAATAAAATTACACGAATAAATAATTTACTTGAATAGTTAAATAAAATATAATTTATTATATTTTTAATTTAATAATATAATTATAAAATTTGAATTAATATCATAATTCAATATATAAAATTTATTGATAAAAAATTTACTTATAGCGTGTCGTCGATATTAGATTTAAATCGAATTTAAATTGCGCCACTCTGAATGCTTTTTACAGTTTTGCCAATGTTAAAATTTCAAACAAAACTAAACAAATGTTTGGCTTGTTGTTTCTCATATCTCATATAACCTTATATACTGTTATTGCAACAAAAATATTGGGCGTGTTAAAGTGTTGCTAAACTAAAATGACGAAAAGTGAATCTAAATCAGGTATCGCTTCAGTTATAGACAATAAAGAAAATGTATTTTACTTGATTTCATTTCTTTCAATTAGGTACAAGTTTGCAAACAATGAAGGCCAGTGGTATTGATCCTCAGGCCCCTGTTACACGAAAGGGGGTTTTAACATCGTTACGAACTGGAAAGACCATGAATATTCCAGATAAAGATATAGTCAGTAATATATTTCATACATTTAATTGATGTTTTCAATATCTGATTAAAGTAATATTTCGTTTAAATTCTGTTTAGCTGGGACGATGCCGTTTTGTGTCTGAATTTGAAAAATTAAACAGGATTGGAGAAGGAACTTATGGAATAGTTTGTTAGTTTACATTATGTCTTTCCATTATTATTAATGAATCTGTTATGGTCAATGAAAAAATATTTTTTTTATTGTTTGTAGACAGAGCTCGAGATACTATTCATGATAAAGTAGTAGCTTTAAAAAAGGTTCGGATGGAACAAGAAAAAGATGGTTTACCTATAAGTGGTTTACGTGAAATTCAAGTTTTGTTATCTTGTCGCCATGAGAATATTGTTCATTTAAAAGAAGTAGTTGTTGGGCGAAGTTTAGAAAGGTAATTGATGAAGAAATTCTATTATTATTTCAGGTTGTATTTTTGTTGTTAATTTTTTTTTACAGTATATTTTTGTCAATGGAGTACTGTGAACAAGATCTGGCATCTCTCCTTGATAATATGGCAACGCCTTTCAGTGAATCACAAGTGAAATGTTTGATGTTACAAGTACTGCGTGGTTTGAAATATTTACATTCTTGTTACATAGTGCATAGAGATCTTAAAGTATCCAATCTTCTCTTAACAGATAAAGGATGTGTTAAAATAGGTATTTCTTAGTTTGTGTGTTATTTTCTCATTTATGAAACATACATATAAAATAGAATATCAAAATGAATAGTTACCAAAATTAACATATAAGACTAAATTTTACAATTTAGATTGTAAGATTTTTACACATCTTCTAACCTAAGCTGTGGAGAAAGAATAACTCTTTCATAATTTCATTTCTCATTTGCTGCCATCATCAATATAAATTTCAATACTAATTTCTAGCTGATTTTGGACTAGCTCGGTGGTTTGGTTTACCAACTAGGCCCATGACACCACATGTTGTAACACTGTGGTACAGAGCCCCTGAACTGCTATTGCAAGCTTCAGTACAAACAACATCAGTCGATATGTGGGCAGTTGGATGCATTTTAGGAGAATTATTGGGACATAAACCACTTCTCCCAGGACGATCTGAAATTGCACAGCTAGAATTAATCATTGATCTTTTAGGTAAAGTAACTTTTTTAATCTAAATTACCTATTAAATTTGTGAGTTTATTGTAAAATGCTCAATAATGTTTTAGGAACCCCCTCTGATGCTATCTGGCCCGAATATAGTTCGTTACCAGCTTTACAAAAATTTACAATAAAACATCAACCTTATAATAATATCAAACAACGTTTTCCATGGTTGTCTGCAGCTGGACTTCGTTTATTGAACTTTTTATTTATGTTTGACCCAAAGAAGAGAGCCACTGCTGAAGAATGCTTGCAGAGTTCTTATTTCAAAGAAGCACCATTACGTATGTTTGAATTCAAATATCTGTTTTTTTATTTCTTTGTATATCATGCAAAATTTATTTAATTAATAATTTGATGTCAGAAGTGTCTTTCATTAGCTACTTTTCTTCAGGTATTAAATGTATTTTGAACACATGATTGAAATAATTTAAGATTTATACATTGAATGCATAACATAAAATGAAGATTATATTTCGTAACATATATTCTTTCAAAGTAGTTATTCAAAACTAAGTTTTGTTTCTGTTGCAAGATATTTCACTAATTGAAAACATTTTCTATGAGAAGCATATGTATATTTTTATATCATTTGTTTTATTACAGCATGTGATCCTAAATTAATGCCTACATTTCCACAACATCGAAACATGAAGAACTCTGGAACAACTCGTCATTCTGAAAACAATTCAAGTGCAATCCTTGATCAAACAAACAATCTTCCAGCAATATCTGATCTACTTGGATCATTAGTGAAAAAGCGTAGAATAGATTAACTATATTTTCATATAAATTATAATAAGATTACTTTGTAAAATCAAAAATAAGCATTTTAAAAATAATTTTTATTTCACAACTAGTCTTAATTATACATTAGAATTATAAATATTTTCTATCCATAGGTGTATTTTTAGCTCTTTTGTCTCTTGATCTCGGGTACCAGATGTGCTTACTTGTGTGGGTTATTCTCACAAGTTCTTGTCTTGTTATTTCTGGATGGAGGTTCTTAAATGTATTTTTAGTTAACGTGCATTTCAACGATAAATTATTATCTACATTTTCATCGGGCAATGGCCGAGAAAATTCGAAAGAAAAATCTTTTTTCGGATGCCATGCCACAAATGTTGTTAAATCGTCTGTCAGAATGACTTTGTCGACATGCCGGAGACGCTGAATTCGATTTGAACTTAATAAACGTCCTGCAATGGCAAAGCAATTATAATTGCTAACACTATTAATTAAGCTTAACCTCAACGCCATTTTGAGTTTATCAGACTGACAATGAGCGACACCGTGACTTGATGACTAGCATCTAGCCGCTAGCCATCATGTCATACTCTTCTTTTATCTATGCATCTAGCAGTGAAGTATGTAGCAAGTGAACTCACTGCTGACTTCAGTCACTTTGAGATGCAATCCTATACCATCCCCATCATGTTTATATATGCTGATACCAATGATTGATCCTAGACACTAAGTATTTTTTTTTATTATTTTAATAATTTTTACAATTGTCCTGAAACGGACAACAAGTAAAATATTTGACGTAAAACTGAAGGCGTTGGCACCATAGATAAATAAACATAAATAGATCGCTATCTCGGGCGATTTGACGTTACACTCATTTTAATTTACGAAAAGATCACTACATGGCAGCACATGTACATACAGTATGTAAATTAACCCCTGGTATTACTTCTACATTTGTACATAAAATCAATACAGCCCAAAAATCTGAAAAAAAAATAATTATTTGAAATAAGAACAAAACATACGGAATACAAAATATATTTTCAAATATATCACAGACATTTTTGAAGAATTATAAACTAAACAGAAATAACTGACTACTATTAATTAAAGTATATTACAGACATATTTTTAAAGTACTACAAATTGAAGAGAAATAACTTATTCATATTAATTAGTTAATGACTAATAACAATATATTAAAAACTTAAAAACCAAGAAGTAAAAAGCGCAGGAGTATTGACGATGAAATGACAAATTTAGAAGGAATGACAAGTAATGCAATAATTTAAAAGGATAAAAAGAACAGCACATTTTTAAAAAAGAATGAATACTTCCCAAACAGAATAATCCTAAAAACAAAAAATATATATATTGATATCCAAATTGAGATAAAACTAAATTCCTAGGATTAAAATTCATTTACAAGACGTTCTTGTTTGTTATCTCTCCATTTAATAGTTATTTTGCTATCTAATCAATCATTAATAAAGTTATATTTGACGAAATCTTTGAATAGTTTCTGTATAAGTGTTTTTTTAATCGTAAGTAACCAAAACCCTGAACTACTTTTAATTTATACCAATTGTAGCTCAAACCTATCTATTGTTTTAATCCAGTTTTTATTGTAAGGAGGTTTATTTAAAACTATAACTAAACCCTTGCGCTTTATAAACTGTCTGGTCTGGTCTGGTCTTTGAGTATGCTCTCTTAATTGAAACAATATCAAAATTCTTGCCCTTACATTTTAAGTTTCCGGAATATTTGAAAACTTTTAAGAACATTGTATACTTTGTTGGAATTTATCCTTTAAATTATTGCATTGTTTGTTAATCCTTTTTAATCCCGAAACAAAATTTGATGTATCATACATCTTCTGGGTGTTAAGGCACTCCTACGCCTTATCACTGCATTCTGAGGTAATTTGCAGCTACCACCAAGGACTTCTATTGAATATATTGTGAACTGTAATTGTGTGGTTGTTGTATCACTCCTGTGATTGTGGGAGATTGTTTGGTAGCTGGAGCTGAGCGGTTGATGAGATAAAAACACTGATTCTTGGTTGATCTTGATATTTTTATTGTTTACTATTTTTACAATTAAATAAATTGTTTGATAACCTTTTGGTTATCGATAATTAGAGACTACATTTTTTTAAGTATCTAAACAGTAAGCCTGACTTGACTCCTGATTTCTGACTTCTGATTTCTGACTCCTTCTGATTTCTGACTGCCTTACTAAATCTTAACTACTTCTTATATACTAAATAATTACAAACAGAACGCGATTCCAAAATCTAACAGCAAGGCCGGAAGAACTTCGAATAACCTTTAAATAGCACGTAGTGCTCTGACAAAAACAATAAATAACAAATTATATTTGTGATTACAGAATAACCTCCCCCTTCAAAGGTTTTTCGTCCTCGGAAAACACTGAAAAGAGAAAAAAAAAAATGATAAGATTGAAAAAAATGAGTTCCATCTCTTCCTCCGCCCATATTCGTCCACAAAGCCAAAACATGGATTCCCACGAGTTGCGAAATTTGAGCGTTTGATCGAAGTTTTCAACAGTGCATTTTCCATCAATATTTAGAGCAATAGAATAATTGTAACTAATTTCTGTTGTAACATTTTGCTGTATAATCAAAACTCATTTTTGAAATTAAATATCTTAATAATTATGCTATTGTATATCACACTTACAAAATAATGTTGTTGAACTTTGAAAATCACATGTGCAGCAGAATGTTATAGCAAAATTAGAAGTATAATTTACACACTACAATGTTACAAAATTATTATTTTTTATTTTTTTTGTACAATAGTTTCCAATATTATTATCAACTAGCCGGCCCGACAGACTTCGTCCTGTCAAAAAAAATTGTAATGTGGCGGTGTTTTGTGCCTATCTTTTTTCTATTCTTTGCAAAAAATTATAAGAACCGTCACCCTGGTAATAATTCGGTGTGAATTAAAAATAATTAAATAAAACACTATAAGCATTTAAAAGTAAGTAATTTTAAAATTACAAATCATAATTCAAAAATCAGTTCAATTTTCATTGTAGTGCTTTGTGATAAACGATATTTTTGTTTGATAACCTGGCGCATAGACAAACAAATCTGATGGTTTTCCAATACGGAAACAAACAACATACAATTTTCCATGTGAGAAACATAGGTTTTCTAAATTATTACCACAAACACTTAATGATACCATAAACGCACTGGAAACGCATTGGGATGCAGTGCGAGAACATTTTCTGCTTTATACTATCCTTTGAGTATAGTTGGTCGATATTTCGCAACATTATAATTTCCGATCCAACCTTTAATTGAAGATTGTGAGGTGACAATCCAAGCAAATCCAGCGAGTTTAAAAACTCCGGTGGATCGTCTTGATAGTTGCCGAATCAACTGTTTCGCCTGTAATTTGTTCTTGAATTTTGAAATTTAATTAATTTACATCAATGTTTTTGGCTGCCAATATAGCTTGATTAATAGAAAGATATTTCTATGTTTATACAAATATATTCAAAATTATATTATCAAAAACTACACAAAATGTCATGACATAGATCATTGTTTTTTTTACAAATTGCGTTGCCTACTCGATTAAAGAATAAAAGGGCTGTTTTTAGGGTTTTCCCGGCAATTATTCGTTTTTTTCTCGCCGTAACAACCATCCTTGGACTTCAACGAACATTTTAAAAGAAGAATTGGCCAAATTGGTCCAGGCGTTGTTGAGTTATGCGCTTACCAACACATTTTGCGATCCATTTTTATATATAAGAAGATATCAAATTTTATAAATGGCATTATACAAGTGATTCTACTTGATAAAATTAGCTTAAGTAAAACCTTATCATTGTATTTTATTAGAATTATAATTATTAGCATAAGAAATGTCTTACTATTGTTTTAATTTCCTTTCCTTCCCCTCAAAGCAATTATTTATCAGAAATAGCAATATCAGATTAATAAATTAAGTTTAATTAAAGCCATTGCTATTATAGAATTTTAGTTTCAAATTATATCAGTAAGAAGACAATGGCAAACTGTTTCATCAATATTATTTTGTTAAGTTTGATATATTAATAGAAAAATCAAAAATATGTCATTATTATTATATTTTGCTAATGTATTATGAATTTTTTTAATATTATCGAGGACGATGAATTTTTTTAAGAGGGGAAGAACATCAAAAATTTTGTAATTTTTAATTTTTTTTATTCTTGGAGGACCAAGAATATCCTTTAGGGGTGGCGTGTTATGTAATAACATGAATCATACGTGCTCTATACTATACATTCAAAGTCCAAGAGCATTGCAAGGGCAGAGAAGTTTTCCAGAACGCGCCACTTCCGGGATATTCTCACGTACTCTTAGCAATAAATAGAGTAAGATTTCATATTGTAACTTAGAGTATGTCTTAGCACGAATCTATGCTAGTTTGTGATATGAAGTTATTAAAGATTAAATAAAGTTATAGTCGAAATTAGATTCAGTGTTTGTATTCTACTTTGCGTAAAGACATCTTTCAGCCTATACCAATATAAAGTGCTCACGGTTCTGAGGAGACTCATACCAATGTTGTTATTTTCTATTATAAACTATAAGCTCTGCCCACGACACCAGGAAAAGGTTGGACGGATCTAGCACCCCATTGGAGAGTGAATCAGTCTACATTTGGAACCCAACCCAATCCAAACACCCCACAACAACAACTCATATCATTTCAATTGTTATCATATTAATTGAAGATATTGTTATTATCATATTAATTATTTTTGCTGCAATTATTATAAAAAAATACCTTTGCGGAAAACTGGTGTCAGCAGAATAGGTGACTTTTAACCTGCACTTGACAATCTCAGGGTTACTGCAAAAATCTTTTTCAAGGTTTTTAAGCTTTCATCTCCTAACTAAGAACATAAGATTCATTTATTAATATCTTTTTGCAAATTGTATTGAAGTATTTAGAGTTATAATTACTTGTCCTTGTCCTTGGAGTTGCAGATTGTTCTTCTGGTTCTGTATGAGAGCATTCTCCAGTGACTTGAAAACTATTCTGTTATTGCCGTAAAGGAGACACTTCTAATTGGTTTCGATTTCAAATTATCTTCGTCTTGTGCCACAAACCGAAGAGTAAGGTCATCCATTAAAGGATTATTCGCCCTCTGCATCCAAATTGAAAGCATCTTTTTACAAATTTTTACACACAAATATATATATATATATATATATATACATAATATATAACATTTTAATAGTATTTTCATGATACATATTCATTATATGCATAATACATCATTATATACATACTTGATAATTAGATGCCGGAAAGACATGCATGCATTTATTATTATATTTGGAGTTATAACAATATGGCACATTACACTTTACCATTTTAACTTAATAATAAATGAAAAAAGTATTCACCAAAATATAATTATATATGAACAATCACAGAAAAACAAATATAACACATCTCAACTACACTACGCGATGACAACTTATAGAAAATGGCCGATCAAATCATTGTAGATCAAGCTAGCTGCTAG